TTCAACAAATTACTGAGTATGTGCCAACTATGTGCCACTAAATGAAACAAAGAGAAACCCTTACCTTCACAGAGCCAACATTCTAGAGGCAGCCAGCACAGAGAGCAGAGGGGGCAGTCAGTTCTTCTTGACAGAAGCAGCCCAGGAATAGACAGCTCCTGGACCTGGACCAGCACTGCTCTCAACTTCCTATTTACTTGAAGCAGTATTTTTACTATTTATAAGTAGAAGATGTCCAGCAAATATCAGTTCTACTTAGCACCTCACTTACATATGTGAACTAGGAAATCTCACTCTAATAACTCTAGATATTGATAACAAATATATCAATGATTACCTTATTCTCATTATTCATCCATGATTGTAAATAAAAATCAATAGGTGAGTCTGTTTAAGAAAACAAAAACAAAAACTGAGACCAAATTATTTTATCTAAATACTCAATAATATCTAAAAATAGCAAATCAATGAACTAAAAACTTTTCCCTTCGAACAGAACACAGCACTGTTAAATGATGCTCTGGAACTCATCAGTGGTCAGTTAAATTAAAAAACTGTTGGGGTGGGTAAGCATAAAAAATGACACACATGCCAAAAACACTTGAATATGAATATAATCAAAACTTTAAAGCTAGCTTCTGCTTGACAGAGGATATGGGGAAGAGAGAAATAACACCATGAGTAAGCAAACAGACGAATCCAAACAGTGGGACAATCTACAGGGTGACTGATCTGGCCTATCTCAGTAAGGCACTGACTTAAGAGATACGATAAATGTGCCATAACATAACCTTTCTTAGACCCAAAATCAAGCAAACCAGCTGAGATAAGAAGTAACTGAATATGGACTAGACTACTACTTATTAGCGGTCTTAATAGCACTTAGTAGTTATGTAAGAAAATGTCCATATTTTCAGAGATGCATACTGAAATATACAGGAACAAAATGACGCCTGGAATTTTTTAAAAAAAATAAAAAAATAAAAAAATAAAAAATGAGAAGAGATGGAGCAACTATGACAAAATCTTATACTAACTGAAACTGTGGGATAGGTGTATAGGAGTTTTTTTTTTAACTGATACAAAATTTGTATATCATAAAATCACCCTCTTAAAGTGTAAAAGTCTGTGGCTTTTAGTATATTCACAAGATTCTGCAACCTTATTCACTTTCTAGTTCCAAAATATTGTCATTACTTCAGAAAAGAACACTGTACCCATTAGCAGTCACTCCCCATTCTCCCCTCCCCCCAAAGCCCTAACAACCACTAATCTACATTCTGCCTCTATTCTTTTTGCCTATTAAGTATCTATACATTTACCTATGGATAAATAGAATCATACAGCATGTGGTCTTTTGTGTCTATCTCCTTTCACTTAATGTGTTTTCAAGGTTCATTCCTATCAAAGCACATATCAATACTTCACTCCTTTTTACGGCTGAATACTATTCCATTATATGGACATACATTACATTTTGTTTATACATTCACCAGTTGACTGAGATTTAAGTGTTTCCACTTTTTAGCTATTCTGACTAATGCTGCTCTGAACATTCATGTACAAGTTTTTTTATGGACATATGTTTTCATTTCTCTTGGGTATACACTTAGAACTGGAATTGCTGAATCAAATGGTAATGCTGTGTTTAACGTTTGAAAGAACTGTCAAACTATTTTCACAGTTGTGCCATTTCATATACCCACCAGCAATAGATGAGGATTTCAATTTCTCCATATCCTCGCCAACACTTGCTATTTTCCATCTTTTTGATTATAGCTATTCTAGTAGGTATGAAGTACTATCTCTTGGTTTTGATTTGCATTTCCCTGAGGACTAAAGAAGTTGAGCATCTTTTCATGTGTTTATTGGCCATATGTACAACTTCTTTAGAGAAATGTTTATTAAAATCCTTTGCCCATTTACATGTAGTATTGGATTATCTTTTTTTTTATTGAGTTGTAAGATTTTATATACTCAGAATGCTAGTATCATATACAAGATTTTCAAATATTTTCTCCCAACTTCTGGTTGCCTTTTTGCTGTCATGATAGTGTCTTTTGAAGCACAAAGTTTTCAATTTTTGTGAAGTCCAATTTCTTTCTTTCTTTTATTGCTTGTGAGTATAAGGAGTTAATGCTATTCTACATTCATACATATTTTTTTCATCAAGAGAAATACAAACAACCCTTAAATTTTTTAACTTAAACATATAAATGTGCATTCATTCATCTATCTTATAACATGGGCTCAAGTAAGGCCTTTTGAGTATTGAACCACAGTATGGAGTTACACGTTATCTTTGCTACATAAGCTTATATTACACAGTTTTCAATTTCTAGTCTTGATTTCTCTGGAGAACATAAAGTATTTAAAGCAATCTGACAGAAATTTGTAAATTTATTATTTTAAAAATTTCCCCTCATTTTTGTAGTTTCTTTCCCAGATCTAATTTGGTAGCAATTTTTCATACTACTCAAAAGTGTTTGACTTGATTTTCTTAGGAAAAATAATTTAAGAATTTATAATTCTTATAAAAAGTTTAGGAACAAAAAAGACTTAATAAGAATATAAATTAACTGGTGGGGAGAAATATGAAAGGTATATTAGAAACAGTTTCCTCGTCTTGAATATAAAGTGTGCTGTGGCCAACAGACAGCATGGTTTCCAAAGGAAAGATTTCGGCTTAATCAGGAAAGAAAATTAAGAGACCAATGAAGAGACCTTTTCCTATAAAAGTATTATAAACATGATATTAATAGCTAAATGCCAAACCAAAGCATTTTCAGTTGACAGTATCACAGCTTAAGATCAATACCCGTCCAAAGACAGAGAAATGAGAAAGGAAATTAAAATATATACATTAAAAAACAATTTCTTATACTTCAGTACCTTGCACTTGTTCCAGTGGTAAAATCCTAACACAAGGATCTTGGCTCTGAAAGGATTCTACAGTTGTAGCCTCCTCCTCTTCTGTTTTTGCTAGATTGCTAGGAAAAGCTGATTCTCTGAGGACAGCATCTGACAAATGTTGGCTTTCTATATGGATCTTTTTCCTAGAGACAGAACTTTTTTTATTAGGAAACAGAATGATGATGGAATGTTAGTTGCGTAGGGTAAATCTCTAAAATATCCATTAATCAGTTATGTATTTTATCTCTCAAAAAGAAAAAAGTGGATACAGTGAAAAGAAACATTTCTGGGACTAGCCAGAAATCACAACTGGTAACATCCTAAGGACTGCACAATTATTTTGCATCCAGTGATGGACAGTCTACCAAAAGCAAATACATTATCATACTGCTACTGTGCCTCTCAACTGATAAGGTTTTTTCCCCCAAATAACTATCTCTGAAACTATCACTTCTAGAGAAAAAGTCAGTTTTCTAAATAGGACAGACTTAAAGGATACTTGTATATTTGCCAAATAGCTAATTGTCTGAATTGCTAAATGCTACAAAAGTTTTACTGTTAGTCCTTGCTACTGTTCTTGTCCCTATCTTTCTATCTACCTCTGTTATTATGTATGGATGAAAATGTTTTTCCTTAAAAGTAATTTTCCTCCCAAACTACTGGGTCTATTGCAACTCAATGAGCCATTTCACCAGCAAGAGGGGTAGGCGATTGAACTGCAGAAAAAAAGACTCTAAATGCAAATTTATCATTTGATAAACTGACACCTAGACCCAAACTCAGATCTAGCCAGTATGGATGAAAAGAAATTAGCCTTTCCATAATTTACAAATTCTAATCCTTTGTGTCTAAGGCAAATCTTGAACCCTAATTTACTTCCCAGCTTCTCCAGTTCTTTATTGGGGATGTAATACATAAAAAGCCATTAGCTTAAACCAAAGGTGCATTCACAGATAAGTATACAAAAGTTTACACCAAATAGAAGCTGAGTAAAAGAGAAGACAGGAGTAGGTGGAAAGACTATAAATGGATACGAAGTCATGTGGCAGAGAAAAAAAAGAAAAAGGGGGGAGGGGCAAGATGGTGACATGAAATAAAGAACAAGTCAGGACATTCAGGTTCATTTTCAAATTTTAAAGCCCTCCCCTATGAAAAGCATATAATGTGATCATTAGAACTTTAGGATAACAGACAGTTAAGGGCACTCTAAAATAACCATCGGCACCACCAAAATCTACTTCCTCAAACCTATAGGTATCCCTTTTTATTAGGCCATCAATATTTCTCAAATTAAGGCATAGGCTTCAAGTAAAAATGTCAAAGCAACTTCCAGGAGCACATTAAAATACCAGTAAGCCCACCTATAAAAGTGAAGCAATCTGGATAGGAGCCACCAGTCCTAGCACAAGCTTACCTCAGACTCTAGAATCTGAAAAACAGATAGGCAAAGCAGGAGAAAAGAAAGATGGTCCAGAATGAGAACACAAGGGCCCAGAAGCAAATCTGCCTGAAAGAACCACGGTAACGTTTCCTGACAACAGTCGGAAGGAGGGCAGAAGACTAGAGCAAAAGAAAGGGGCTGACTGAGACTCTGTCAACCATGCCAGGCAGTACTCCACTCCTGCTCCCCAACCCATACAAACTAAACAGCAGTGTCAACATGTCACTAAACATCCAGGAATAAGGCTCTTCTCCAGACGAGTCACAGGAAACATCCATGCAGAATAAAGCTATGGTAGTAACAGCAGCCTAGAATAAAGCATTTAACACTCAGCATGAATTTAAGACATACTCCCCCACCCCAGCCTGCTCACCATAACGTGAAGCTGGCCAGGACCACTGCTCCACTCACACAGAGGTCTAATGGAAATGAGACCTAAACACCCATCAGCTGAGGACGCCCACACTAGCAACCTAGAAGTAGCCACAAATCAGACATAGTTCGAAAAAGAACAGCTCAAGAGATAAAAAGATGAACAAACTACAACCCAGAGACAAAGAATAATTAATATAAGTTTTAAAAAAATCTCAATTAGAACACTCAGGAACATTTAAGTGGCTATTTCATACATCCACGAAAAGGAGCCATTATAAAAAAACAAAAGACCAGAAAAAAGAGCTCTCAAAATTATGATTGCCAAATAATTTAACAGAAAGATGAGAAAAAATTAGGAACTTATCTATTTTTTTTGCACTGAAAAAGAAAAAAATAGGAAAAACAATGGAAACAGATCAAAATAGTAGCTCCAGAAAAAGGGAGAAAAATAGAAAAGTGCCAAAACAATAATTATCTAGAACTAAAGCACAGAAATCTCTGGGTTGATGACAATTAGAATTTAGTGAGTGGGAGGAGAGGAAATCCCATCCAGCAGGCACTCTGAGAGGATTGTAAGTTTCCAGAGGGGAAAAAAATAGTTCAGATACAAAGGATCAAGTATCAAAATGACATCCAAGTTTCTCACACAATGAAGCAATCCCTTCAAAATTCTGCGAAAATTATTTCATCTTTAAATTCTATACTCATCTAAAGTATTAATTCCAAGGTTAGAATAAGGACATTTAAAACACACAAACTCTGTCCTCCCCCAGAAAGGGTCATGAAGCCATCCCTAACAAGGGGACTAAGCGCATGGCTCTACAGGCTGTGGACCCTTCATCACAGTAGCCACAGGAAGCCCTTGCTCTTAGACTAAACCCAGGTCTTCAGATTACTCAACAGAGGCAAGGGCTAGCCGCAAAGCACTCTGCCCCACCACCCCAACAGAAGTCAAGAGTGAGGCCAGCAGGTTTCCTATCTTCTGTTAACATGGGTCAACGAGACTACTTCCTCATACCTCTGCACTTCTATCAGAGCATCAAGAGATTACTTCCAATATTTCTCTCCCCTCTTCTCACATCTACTGTCTTATCACCAACATCAGCTCACTGAGACTAACTTCATGATGTTCTCTGTCCCTATTTATTCAGTCCCTACAAGTTCAGGACTCCTTACTGCTGGCATCCTAAGCTCCACAAGACTGCACATCCCCTCTTTCCTTCCCAACAAACCAACCCTTCCACGGTACCTTACAGTGCAGAATCAGCAAAATCTTGCTATTCCTGCACCCCTTTTCTAACATTCCTTTCACCTCGTTGCTTTAATGAAAGCCTGGATGTTCTATAAGGACTTTACTCTCCTTAAGCTCTGTCATAGGGGGACAGGACTATTGTCTCTTCCACAACATTAGTATCACTGGGTGTGGAGATGAAATTCATAGTCCACTATGCCCCTCAGTATCACTTCCAGATCACTCTCCCTAAAGCCTCTCAGCTTAGAACCACCTACTAAATCCTCATGTCATCTACCCTAATACTGCAACTCTATAATCTTTTAACCCCCTCAAGCCTCTAATCCATTCACACTACTACATTTCACTCTCCCTCACCCTTTTGATATCCTTTTCTCTTTCTTAACCTAAATCCCATGGCCAGTTATCATACACCTCAACTCCCTTGTCCCTCACCGTGTTCATCAAAATATAATCCCAGTTAATCCTAAATCTCTATTTATACCTTGCCAGCACACCTACAGCTTCATGTGGTTGGAGAAAACATCACAATCATACTGAGCAGTCTCACACTAAATTCGTGACCATAACCCTCAAGTGTCTGACAATCCTACTATTCCTTGTCCATTTACTTTCCGACATTCCCATAGGATTGTTTACATTTCTTTTCAAATCACCAATTCCTCCTCCTCCTCTCTCACCAAGCTGATGGCCATGCCTCCTATTTCACTGAGAAACCTGAAGCACTAAAAAGACAACTTCCACAGACTCTTACCATAATATGTACCCACATATTCTGCCTCTCCATCTGTTAATACAGAGAAACTATCTATGGTCCAATCCCTCTAAAGTCATTCCCCACAATGGACATTAGATCCTAATCTCTTATTTACACAAAGACATGGCAACAGTCAGTCTCTTCTACATAATCAAATTTTCCCTTTCCAGATCATTCTCATTACCATCTAAGCATGCAGTAACTCATCCCATCACAAAAAGAGAAACTTGTCTTGACCCATCACCCCTACCAACTATCACAGTCCTATTTCTCTGCTCCCTTTTGCAGCAGAAGTCAGTGAGAGCAGAATTCAAGTTGTCTGCTCTCACTGACTCCAATACCAACTCTCCATTCTCTTAAATTCACTCTGTTGGGCCACTATGCCTCCCTGTACTTCCACCAAAACTACCTGTCAGGGTTACCCATGGTGATTTCTTAGACTTCATTTATTTGACACAACTGAATCACTCTTTTATAAATGTTCTTCACGCAACTTCCGAGACACTTTGTTTTCTTTCTACTTCTGAAGACTAATTCTTAGTCACTAGGTCTCTTCCTTCTCTCCCCAGCTTTTAATATTACCGAACCTAAACATCAAGTCTTAATGCTCTTCTCTTCTCCAACTATCTCACTCCCTTGATAATCAAACTTCCTAAGTGATCTTCCTGCTTTTAGTCTTCCTCCCAACAGTCTATTCTCAACAGAGTAGCCAGAGTGAGACTTTTAAAACACAACTCACATGGAACCTCATGGTTTCCCATTTCAAAGTAAAAGTCTTTGCTCACCACTGCAGCCTCCTTTCTGCCCTTTGAATATATTGGGTGTGTTCCTACCTTAATGCATTTACGCTGGTTGCACCCTCCACCTGAAATCCTCTTCCTCCTAATGTCAACATGGCTAACGCCCTCCTTTAATCCCCTCCTTCAAGTCTTTGTTCTCATCTTATACCTCCTCAATGAGACTCACACTGACCATTCCCTTCAGCCTCCCTAATAATCATACTTACCATGTTCTATTTTTCTAGCACTTTTCCCTTCTAACATGCAATAAAATTGGTATATTTTAATTTTTAGTTTGTTGTGTTTAATGTCTGTTTTGTTCACTGCTATATCCTAGAAATATCTGGCACATAATAGGCAATCAGTCAAAAATACACACTGAGTGAATGAATATACAGAGTTAACTAACATTTTTGACATAAAGTGCTTATATCTAAACATTATCAAGAATCAATTCGCAACAGAAATAAAATGAATAAACATTAAAGAATGTTCAACCCATAAATATTCAATTATGAATTCAAACAGAACACTTTTTTTAAGACTGCCTG